CACTGAACAACAAAGAGTCTATGTGAGGCCCCTGTGTAGACTCCAGGGTAAAGCAGTGGTCACACAATGGAGCACATCTGGTGAGGACAAACAGGTGTATCTACTTGAAAGTCAGCAATCAGTTTTAGTCTTGATGGAAGCAAACGTGTAGGTGGTTTCCTGGACAAGTCATACCCTGGGGCAACTCCTGTCTAGATGGAAGTCACCTTCTCTATGTCAACATCTTACTAGGACACAGGTGACAGTGAGGACCTGTGTTTGAAATGGAAATAAGGAAGAAGCAATGTGAAAAAATCTGAAGTCCAACCCCAGTCCCTGTGGGCTAAAAGTGAGGAGGTCATTGCCAGTGGCACATAAAATCCAAGCCTAAAAATAAGAACTATAACACAAATAAAGATATACAAAAGATTATCATGAAGAGCATCTTAAGAAAAATTTTCTCATTGCATTGCTGTATGTTTAATTTTCTCACTTCTTAGCCTCAGAATAAAGGAGAAAAGTGAACCAGTTGCTTTGGAGTTTGTCATTTTACGGCAACCTCACATATGTCAGAGTAGAACTGAGCTCCATAAGATTTTCAGTAGCTAGTTTTTCAGAAGTGATCTTTTTTCAGGTTGTCTCTAGGTAGACTGCGACCTCTGGTTTTCTGGTTAGCAGCTGAGCTAGCCATTTACATCACCCAGGGACTCTAACCTCAGGGTAAGAGACTGAGAAGGCAAGGACTTTCTTTTTAATAGCCCGACTTCATCAAACACAAGGTGGACCAAGAGACCTCTACATCCTTTGCCGTCTATCCGGTACAGAAATCCAATCTGTGGATTTATCTTCATTCTCTCCTAGTGCCTATGATTTGTGACAGTCTGTTTTTCTTTATGATACCACTTCTTCCCAAAATTCCTTAGGAAAAGCACTCTAATTTTAAAAATAAGTATTATTGTTGTTATTATTGCTAAAAAGAAAGACCAAAAGAGACTTAAACATGACCAGTGTGAGAAGGTATTTTCTTGATCCTTTGCTTTTGTGAGGAAAAAAAAAAACAAAAAACGTTGTAGTATGAGATTTGAGGCCCTTGGAGGGACATTTCAGAGATTTGCACTGTTGGCTTCAGATCCTCCAAGGAACCCATTTGCTAATTCTTCTGAGGTTGCATCCTGTTCACCAAACCAGAACTCTCAGTGTTATACAGAAGCATGGAGTAGTGAGAGTAGCACCCCTCCCCCAACACACACACACACACCCACACACACACACACCCACCCTTTGAGACACTGAGAGAGTTCCTTCGGAGGAAGAGCAGGCCCCAGGGAGTGGGGCTCACAGGGTCAGGATATGAGTATGTGGTACCTTCCCTTCTACCCTTCTAACAAGGACCCCTCTGTTGCTGTGCCTCTGAGCTCTGACTTGAGAAGCATAGTTTCCCAGTGATGCTACTAGATTCCTGATGTGTGACACTCTGGGGCAGCATGGTGAAGGACGCTGTTGAGTTCCTGGGGACCCCAGACAGAGACACCATTGTGAGCTGCATTTAGCATATGAGCTTCCCTTTCCATGACTGCCACTATTCTTAGTACCCTTCTCTGCTCCCAGGGACAGAGGTCATTGGGACCAGACTAACTGGGTGGGGAGGTGGATGGAGCTGGTCAGGGGGTAGGATGGAGGAGAGTGGACATAGAACTGGACTATTACAGTTTTAGGGTACACTGAAAAAGATCAAGGGAGGTGGTCCAGGTACATTTCTGGGAGAGTTCGTAACTGAGGATGCTGGACTCATCCACTGTATCAGCAAGTCTAGAGAGAAAGAACATGGATGAGTGTAGGCTAAGTTCTGTGGAGCTGAGTATGCACTTCATCCATGGGTCTCCAGGTGATCCCAGTTTTCTTTCTCAGACTTCAAGTGAGAATGCAGGATTTTGGCTTTGATTTCCAACTGGTGCAGCCAGCAGAGCAGCCTATCCAGAGCCAGCCTTCCTGCCCGTGATCTAGTGTCACTGACTCTGGGATTAATCCCCTCTCCTTCCTCTCTGCAATGCTAACTAAGAGTGTTTAGGAATCAGTGACAGGCTGATATAGAGAAACCTCTGGGGGGAGTCATGGCATCCACTCCGTGGTGGAAATGTGAAGGGTTTCATATACCCAGAGATACTGAGCATGTCTAGTCCTAGGTGGGCAGAGAGAATTCCTTCATTTCAGAGACTGGGAGGGGTTGAACTGACTTCCTTCTAAACCTATACAGAAATATTTCTCCCCATTCAAGTTCATACGCTTTCTGATTTCCCTTTCTACCCTCTCTCTCTTTCTTTATCATGTATAGAAAAAGGTGTACAAAGTACACCCCAGAACCTGGTGCCAGGTTCCCAGATTTCTCACTTTTATCTTCCCTCTGAACACAGGAGAAACTTATAATGGGGGGAAAAAATAGACTTGTTCGTCCAGTGAATTTTACAGCTCTGACATTTCAATTCCAAAATGGCACTAGCAGGACAAACAGTAGGAACAAGTTTAAGGATTCTTCTTCTATGAACTGGTACCAATGACGTGAATTCTACTCTCCTTCTCTACTTTATGACAGCTTAAACTTAAATAAGGAAACTGTGGTATAATATTTTGAGCCAAGGGTTCAAAGTCCTTGGGTAACAAAAATAACCAAAAGTTTTGTGATTCAAGTTCTCTCTGAGACACCTAAGAAGAGAGACTTGTGCTTCCCCAAGGTCACGGACAGAGAAATCCTGGGAGCACCCTTCTCCTCCATGACATGAGACACCTAAGAAGAGGGACTCGCGCTTCCCCAAGGACACAGGCAGGGAAATCCTGGGAGCACGTTTCTCCTCCTTGATGGTGGAAGGCTGACGAGGTGCAGTGGACCTGATGGCAACTAGTTAGATTTGGTTTTTAGCTCCAGAACTTGGAGAGGTACCCAAGGCTCTACCTGAGTAGATACGCACTTATCCTTTCTCCCTTTGCTCAAGTTTGATAAAATTAATCCCTTTTAGCTAAAGGCATTGTAAGATAAATGATATGAGCGAGTTTTTAAGTTAAGTTGTCTGAGACAAAATATTGAAGCAGTAGAACTGAACAGTACCTATGAGGAGATGTAATTAATTGTCTGGAAGACATGGGGAGAGTATGGTTAGTTGGATTTTTTTAAACTCAGGTCCTTTTAATTCTTTGTATGACTGTAGCCAGATAGAAAATTTTCTGCTGTTTCACCCACAAAGCCTTATGCATGAGGTATACCTTCTGTGAAGCACTCAGAATTATGATTTTTCTGAATGACTTGACACTGCTGAGGGTTTTATAACTCCAAGTATTCATATGGCAAGAGTCAGGGACAAGATGCAATGGGCTTGATGCAGTACAGAGCAGCTTCCATGTTGGAAAGGAGGGGAGGATGCAGATCCTTAGCCTGAACACATGCCAGGAGATGGCCTAATAGCATTTCCCTTGTGTAGGTGTGTGAGGAACAGCTGAACTGACAAATACAGCATCAAGGATAGTGTCTGGGGTGCACTGTAGGTGCAGCAGCTTCTGTTGGTATTTTTCTCTGCTGGGAGTTGTAAAACATCCGCTTCACCCTGTGGCATTGGTAGAATTGCTCTGAAGCGAAGGACATGGGTTCTAGATGCAGCACTGCCACTTACTAGCTGTCTTGGAGCAAAATCACATTACCTTTCTGAACACCTTTTTCTGTACCAGTGACATCAATAGAGTCAGACCCTTTCTGCCAACCCCACAGCAGTGAAGTAGGCAGTGAACTTTAAGACAGGTATAATACTGGTATCTGCTCTGGTGGCCTACTGGCAAAAAGCTGCACTACAATCCCAAAGGCACGCAGTTCGAATCCCACCAGCTGCTCCACAGAAGAAAGATGGACAATCTCCTCCCAAGAAATTAACTGCCTCTGAAAACCTTCCAGAGGGTCAATTATGGGTTGGTTCTACCTCAACAGTACACAGCAACAATAATACATTGTTAGAAGTATAAAATAGGACAAGAGATGTGATGTGCATTAGAGACTGTATTAGATTGAGAGTGAAGCTAGAGCTGGTGGTTTGGTTTTGGTTTGGTGTTTTCTTAATCCCAATTTTCCTTGGCTAGACAAATTTAAACTCAGTCTCAGGCCTGAATCAGATTTTCCTGGGTGAGCAGAGCATCCTGGGCTTCATCCATGTGCAGAGTAGATCTTTCCCAGGACACTGTTAGAGGTGCTGTTACATGTAATGAGAAGCAAGAACTGTTGGACAAACATTGTCTTTTTAGCCACACCCACAAATTTAAAGGAATCACCAGCAGTTGTGTGTATGTGTGTGTTCATGTGTGCGTGGATATTTAAATTAGAGTATACATTGTCCATGAAGAATTTCCAGATAGTCTTCATCTAACCTGGTTCTCTGGGCAGCAAGTCAATTTCTCATATAGCAGTGATGCTTTCTTTTCTTAGTTTGGAAGCTTATATTTGTGTGGCCTGGGAAAGATAGGGGAGGGTGTGGTAGTTGGCAGGACACCCCACTTGTACTTTCTTCTGAGAAGATATAAGAATAATCCCCCTCCCCTGTAAATCAGGGTCACAGCTCCCTAATGAAAAATGAATGCTTATCAGCTTTGACTTCTGCTGAGAACTCACAGTTTTTAGACAACACTTTCTTCATTATTTCTTAAGGCAGAAATATTGACTTGCTTTTTTAAAACCCGAGTGGTTGTGCTACCTTGGAATATCTCAGAGGATAGACTTAACAGGTCCCCCCCCCCCTCAATTTTCTTAGCAATAGAAATTGACACATACACCAGGCTAGGTAGTTGATGGCTTGTCTGAAACATTTTCTTTTGTAAGAAATCCTTCACCGCTCTCTGTTTCAGCTCACAGCATCTCCTACAGCAATGTGCTCAATGTTGCCATCAGCACACCCTGCACAATCTGACTGAGCTGGGTAGGCCGCAGTTAGATTAGTGGCCGACAGTGCAAGGCATCTGCTGTGATGATTCACACTTTCTTGTGTTTCCAGGTAGTGGACCAATCCAGCTGTGGCAGTTTCTTCTGGAATTACTCACTGATAAATCCTGTCAGTCTTTTATCAGCTGGACAGGAGATGGCTGGGAATTCAAGCTTTCTGATCCAGATGAGGTAAGAAAGGAATGACTTGTGAGGATGGGAGAGGGAGAACCTGGAAAGGGCCGCATAAACATAGATGATATTTCCTAGGATTTGAACCCTGGCTCTGCTATTTGCTACTTGTGTGACTTTAAGCAAGTTTTGTAACCTGTGTGAGATTTAGTGTCTCACTTAGAAAATAGAATAATAGGTTACGTAAGCCATTTTTGTCCAAGATAACCCATATGGAAAGTGTTCAGCATGCAAGAGGTCCTTCTTAATTAGGAATTGCTGCCTCTTCTTAGCCCTGTGGCCCTGTGCATACAAAAGGGCCAGACAGTTCAAACAGCCCTGTTAGAGTCATTATTTGTTAACTAAATCCTTCCTCAAATACTTACTAAGTGGTTGCTCTGTGCCCTGTCTAATCTTGAAGACAAAAACAGTGAATGGGAGGGACAGCATCTCTGTTCTAAGAAACATGAGAAAGGATTTTCTTTGGGATAGACAGATGCATCTTGTTGATGAAAGGCAGGTACAGTTACAACTCAGATTCTGCTTCCTCATATTAGAACTCATGCTTTAAAGGCAGGGCATTTTAACTCATCATAGGAGGGTAAAGAAGCATCTAATTGTGGCTTCTCTCACACACACACTGCCCCCTGCCCTGCAAATCACTTTATATCTGTTGCATGGAAGTAAGTTCAGGGTCATTTGAATTTCCATTGAATCAATTTGACAACTATTCTTACTCAAACCTTGAAAAATAGGATTTCTAAACAAAAAAAGGTCAGAAAAATAGGAATGTCAACATTGACCAGCATGAATAGGTGTGTGCCAATACACAAATATATGTGAGTTACGGTATAGCTGTTTAACTTTCCTTATTAATTGAATTTTCTTTATTTATTTGTTTTATTTCAGGTGGCCAGAAGATGGGGAAAGAGGAAAAACAAACCCAAGATGAATTATGAGAAACTGAGCCGTGGCTTGCGCTACTATTACGACAAAAACATCATCCACAAGACGGCTGGGAAGCGCTATGTGTACCGCTTTGTATGTGACCTGCAGAGCCTGCTGGGGTACACGCCTGAGGAGCTCCATGCCATGCTGGACATCAAGCCCGATGCTGATGAGTGATGGACACAGAACAGCAGGAATGCTTTGCCAAGACATTTTATGGAACCATTGCATCAGTTGGATTCTTGCTTTTTAATGGTTATTGTATTTTTAATTTTCCAGAACTCAGTTGTTTGTTGATGTGTTGTGATTTTTTTTTACATTCAGGGGTGGGAGCTAATTAAACTGCAGCTATAATCTGTGTGCACCGCTGAAAGAGGAAAGCCAGGACTTTTGTGGGTGGGACAAGACATTCTGGAGGAATTTTTCATAAGGGGAAGAGAAAGAATGGTCTTATCAGAAGGAAAGAAATGACTGATGAGTCCAAAGGCCTTTTTAAAGTCATTTATCCATGGGGGAAAATGTTTTGAGTTATGAATCTATTAACAAAAGAAATTGATACATTGGGAATCATGAGACTGATAAAAGGCAATCAATTTTCTGGGAGGGCAAAAAAGGGAGGTGGGACACAGCATTTTCTTTAGGGAATGCATAGAAATGAAGTATGGACCTTTCACTCTAATTTTGAAACAAAGTGGGGAGGGGCCAAAAGAGTTTTTATGTTAAAATTTATTTTATTACATTTTGTGCCAGTATTTTTTTTTCCCTTACAAATCGTCTTAAGCTCTAAGGTGGTCTTAGTATCACAGTATCATGCAAGTTTGTGTTTATTTGCCGGCTGAGGACTGTCACAGGGAAAGAAAACTGTTTATATAGACCCTACTGGAAAAGCAAAGAGTTATCACTGAGATCTTGGGACCCCTCTTCCACGTGAGAACTGTATATGAAGGAATGTGGATTTAGTCTAAGGGAACTGTTCATGGGGATTCCATTTGCAATATTTACAACAAAATCAGCATCATGCTCCTTTACTGATTTATCTCTAGTGGATTCTTGGGATTTGGGTTTAATGTTGGGCTGAGAAGCATTAAGTCTTTGAACGGAATGCACTTTTTTAGCCCTGAGTGTAGACTGCCATTAATGTAGGAACATTCTTGAAGGGAAATTGGTTCAAGGGAAATTGGGGGAGGTTTGATTCTGTACTAGTCCATCCCTGTAATGTGAGTAACCTGGTCTTAAAGCTGTGCATAGGGTGTTAGCCCTCAGGTCTTAAGAAGTCAGTTCAGAATGCAGGTGTCCTAAAGTTACTCCAACACTTCTCCCCTTACGTCCCATTATCCTGGTGCCCCACGTTTGTTGCTCCCTACCTCCTTGGTTCTTCATATAAGAGAGGTGCACAGCGTGTTGATCAGTGAATGGAAGAGTAATTGCATACTTGACATGAGGTAGAGTTTGTATTGAGGCCATTTAGATTTGCTGAGTTTTAGAAGAAATGACGGAGATTAAGACAGCATATAATAATCAGATGTACTTTTTAAAGATGTTGGAGATTTAGGATGTTACATGAGACTGGGTTTGCAGAGTGAAGTGTTGTTTTGTTCTGTGTGATCAAGTCAGAACGGAATCATAACTGACCTCCAGCGGGTTTCCAGAGGCTGGGAGTCGCTAGGAGGAGATTGCCCATCTTTCTCCACACTCAGAGCTGTTGGTGGATTCAAACTGCATGCCTTTGGGTTGGCAGCATAAGTACAGACAGTATTAGGGCCTGCTGCTCAAATCTGTTGTCTTGGAACAGGGGAAGTATAGAGGAATAATGGCAGGAGAAAAAAAAAGGGCTTGCATGAAGGTGAAAAATGAAAGGAACTTGAGTGAAGATGGTAAGGTGGTCAGTGATATTTTAATATGTTTTAGGACCCACAAGAGTGAAACAAAACCAACTCGGTTGTGATGGGTGATCTGAAATTACATTATTTTGTGGAAAACCAGCATATTACTGAGAAGTGCCTAATATCTTAGAATCCACCCCACCTACTGGTGCTTCATAAATAACATGCTGGCTTAACAGACTTCATTGAGAGGTGGAAAAGCTTTTAAGATAGACTTGTCAGGGCTTCTCAGAGTCCTTGGTGAGTAGTAACTGAGAAATTGGAAGTATGAACTGCCTTCTAGCCTGCCTTCAAGAACATTTAGGATTTCCTCTCAGGTCTTCTCACAGACCCCACATTATCAGGAACACAGCTGTGTGGTTTATGAGTGTCCTCATGCTGAAAGACTGGAGAGGCCACATGAAAAGCTAAGGCAGTATTACCCCAGCTATCTCTTGATCTTCTTTTAGATGTAGGTGCCTTAATAAAGCTCTGAAAATATTTTAGGAGCTGCTCAGGGAGTGTTAGGTGGACCTGTTTTGACTCCAGTGTTTTCTCTATTATGTGATCTTTGTTGGACACTGATAAAGGGATGTGTGTGTGTGGGTGTGTGTGGTGTGTGCACACATGCATGTGAGTGTGTGTGTGCGCATGTGTGTTTGCAAATATGCAAAACTGCAGCCAAGATAATACCTGAATTTCCTGATTAAGTCTTTTTGCATGTCAATAATGGACAGTCGGGCATAGATCATTGCATGCTGTTTGCAACCAGGAATAAAAATTACATTCTCAACTCAGCCACCTTCTAGTGGAATTTGTGCTTAAAATCCCCTTTCTGTTAGTATGTCCAGGTCCAGCAACTTCATAACAGATAAAGTGCCTCTTTGTGCCCCTGATCCCACTTGTGTTTCAAGATCCCCTTTTGCTCTGGGTCCACCATTTTCAGTATGTGTAGATAGCATATTAGTTAAAACAGCTTTGTTGTTCTGGCCAGATGCTGGTATCTCTTCTGTCAAAGGCCAGAGACCATCCCAGGACAAGCGATGGATGGGTGGCTTATACACTGGAAATACAGCAGAATTGTTGCATTTGTGCTTTTTCAAAACATACGTTACCTTCAGAGAAAGGATAAGCAAATCTGTTTAACTGGATGAATCAATGTCCCATAGATGCCTTACCCAGGTAGGTTTTGGCTTTGGGGTTCAAAGTCACTTTGCCCCCATTCATGGGTGGGACTTCCTACTCTATAGCCACAGTATTGATGTAGCTGTGGGAGTGAAGGTAGCATCCAGAGGCCAGATGGGCTTATACTCGCTTTGGAGATGAACACTCTGGGTTTTAGAGCATTAACCTTCATGGTGAAAAATACAACTTCTCTATTCTAGTCATGCTGTGCATGCTGCTTTCTCGTTGGGGTCTATATAAAATTGTTGAAGTCTTATTTACATTCCAAAGAAATTTCAAGGAACAATAAATATATGTATACATATACATATATCAAGTATATATTAAGATGGTAATTAACTCTTATCAGGAATACTGCCTCAGTCATTGAACTTTTTTTAAGAATACATTTTTTTTAAGCTGAGAAGTACAGGAGTGAAAAGATGTTATATTGTGTTTGACTATTTTTCAACTTGTATTTTCATATAATTTATATTTTTTAAAAGCTGACATTTAAAAGCAAGATGAAAAAGGAAAGCAGGTGCTTTTAAAAAAATCAGAACTGAGGTAGCTTAGAGATGTAGTGATGTTAGTGTCTGTATGGTTTTTTTAATGCAAAAAAATTCCTATGGGGGAGTTTTTGTTTGTTTATCTTAGTAGCTGATGCTGGCACATCATTTTGCTGGAGAATTTTTTATATACTGTAGTCTGATTTCATATTGTATTTTAAACTGTGTGAGATTAAAAACAAATTCATTCATAATCATGTGGGCTTGGCTTGATTTTTTCCTATTACAGCAGGGCTAATGACTAACAGCAACACACAAAAAGGAATGCCATTCACTCTTTCTGAACTCAATAGCTCAGGACCATCTTGTTGTTAGGTGCCGTCGAGTCATAGACGACTCATAGCAACCCTCTGAACGGAAGACCTGAGCCCTGTTCTTAGTTTCCAGAGGCAAGACATTTTGGAAGCGGATGCTACTCCTGCTTCCAACAGCACCTTCTTAGAGAAAGATTTCTATAAAAAATTAAGAACTGTAACAAGAATAGAAAGGCAGTCAGCTAACATTCCATTGTTAAATATTTGGGATCCTGCTCTGGGTGTTATTTGATTTTGTGCCAAATAATTGCTTCTGCAGTGATTAGTACGATTAGTCATTGTAAGCCAGAGGTTAACTGTGTCCCAAATGTCTAAACTTCTGTACCACTCCATCATCCTCTCTTCTCAGACCCAAAATGTCTTTGAGTTCTGTGATTCACGGGAAGGTCTCATAGAAAACTCAAAAACCGTCAGGGAAATGGTTCATACTGTTGTGAATGATGTAGGCCAATGTACATGGTTGAAGTGACTAGTGAATGATAGGCCAGGCATCTGCAGGCTGAGGTTTTGGGTTGTCAGCTGCCTGCTCTTCAGCTAGATCAGCTTACGTGCAGTGTACCAAGCAAACAAGGACTGAGCTTCCATGGACTTTTCCTTTATGCAGAATCTCAAGGCTATAAACCACTCATGAGAACAGAGGATGGTAACTTGGGTAATTCCTTTTAAGAGGGTGGGGCTTAAAGGAGCTTTGATGGTTTAGAGGTCAGAAGCAATCCCAATTCCAAAGGCAGGCACACATTTAGGACCCGCCAGCTGTTCTATGAAAGAAAGATTGGCAATCTCTGCATAATTTACTACTTCTGAAGACTTGCTGGAGGGTCAGTTATGGGCCAGTTCCAACTTGATAACACACAACAACAGGAATGGGGCTTGTATCCCACCCTAATCCTATCACCTTAATATAATAGCGGCCTTGAGTGAAACTGTAAGCATAAACAAAAGAAGCTAGAATCACAAAATGAATGGATGACTATGGACAGAAGGACCAGATGGCTTAGTCCATTTTACTATCTTAATTCATTACATACTTTGTCACATTGCTTTTTTTTTTTTAACATATGAATACTAAGAGCTATGTGAAGAACATTTTTAATGATTCAAGAAATGTTTAATTTTAACATTTCCTGATACTAGCAAAACGTTGACCATCTAGGACTAAGAACAGCATTCTTGCTTTGCTATGTGCCATATTGTGCTGATTATGTCTATCTTGCTGTTGTTCACAACAGTAGCCACTACATACTGAGAGTGATAGTAGCTATCAGATC